AAGAAAAATGAAAACATTGTCTCCATAGATGTATATGTTTACTGTAGATTTACTAACAATCACCAAAAATTCAAAACAATACAAATCTTCAACTGGTAAATAGATAAATACCTTGTAGTGTGTACACACCATGTAACACTCTTGGTGATAAAAAGGAACAAACTACTGAAACACAACAGCATGAATAATGACTCCAAGCTAAGTTAAAGAAGCCAGACAAAAGGCAATGTACTCTATTTTTTCATTTATGTAATATTCTTAAAAAGGCAACACTATAGGAACAGAATGAGATCAGTGCTTGCCAGAGCCTGAGGATAGAGGGGAGAGACTGACTGCAAAGAGACACAGGGAAATTTACTGGGTGAGAGATGTTCTATTTTGACTATGGTACTGGTCACAGAACCATATACACTTATCAAAACACATCAAACTGTGCACTTACACAGGGTGACTTTCACTGTAAATTATACCGCAAGAAGCCTGACCACCCCTTCCATCCAAAAAAACAACTGATGGGGGCATGTTAAAGGGCACAAGGGCCAATTTAAAGGACAATTTGGACATCAAAATGGGTGACGATAACAATGGAGTAACACTTTGGGTAAAAAAAAAAAAACAGCAGCAATGCATCTATACTGATAAAATTAACTATAAGAGGGGAGGAAGGAAACTTTTTTCTTTACTGTAGAATGCCAGCCTGGAAATGCAAAAAATCATCATTTTGACATCTACCACAGTGACAATCAACGCCAGCAAGAATCATCAAGATCCCTGGGGCCAGGTGTGGTGGCTCACGCCTGTAATCCCAGCACTCTGGGAGGCCAAGGTGCATGCCTAATCCTAGCTACTTGGGAGGCTGAGGCAGGAGAATCGTTTGAACCCAGGAGGCAGATGTTGCAGTAAGCTGAGATCATATCACTGCACTCCAGCCTGGGCAACAGAGCGAGACTCTGTCCAGAAAAAAAAAAAAAAGATTGCTGGAACCACCGGGGAGACCTGTGAAGGCCCAGCCTTCAGGAGTTAATTACAAAGTGACATGAAGTGATGCTCTGAGAAGGATCAATATCACTCCCATGGCGATCCTGCCAAAAATGCATAACTAGACCTAATTATGAGTAATCCATCAGAAATACCCAAACTGAGGGCCACTGTACAAAAATAACTGACCTTTAAACGTGTCAATGTCATGAAATACAGAGAAAGGCTGACAAAGTACTGCAGATACTAAAGATACTGCAGAGGCTAAAGAGAGACGTCAGCTAAGTGCAAGGTCTGAGTCTGCATCAGACACTAGAGCGGAAGAAACATTTCTATAAAGGACATCACTGAGACAACTGGTGAAATGTGAATATAGGATGTGTATTAGGTAACAGTACTATAGCAATGCTAAATTTCCTCTACTTAATAGATTGTGGTTAAGAGTATGTCCTTGCTCTTAAGAGATACATGTTGAAATATTAGGAGTTAAAGAGTATATCTGCCACTTTCTGTCAATCCAGCAAGTAAAAAACAGAAAATAAAATAATATGTATATTTATGGAAAAAGAAAAAGCAGGCTGGGTGCGGTGGCTCACGCCTATAATCCCAGCACTTTGGGAGGCCAAGGTGGGTAGATCACTTGAGGTCAGGAGTTCAAGACCAGCCTGGCCAACATGGTAAAATTCCATCTCTACTAAAAATACAAAAATTAGCTGAGTGTGGTGGCATACACCTGTAATCCCAGCTACTCAGGAGGCTGAGGCAGGAGAACTGCTTGAATCCGGGAGACAGAGGTTGCAGTGAGCCAAGATCATGCCACTGCACTCTAGCCTGGGCAACAGAGTGAGGCTCCAAGGAAGGAGCGAGCAAATATGGTAAAATGTCAACCACTGGTTAATCTAAGTGAAAGTTATACTCATTGTTCTATTCTTGTAACTTTTAGATAGATTTGAAATTTTTGAAGTGAAAAATTCAAAAAATGTCTAGTTAAGATAAGTGAGCCTACGAAATGGATGTACCTGTTTTTCTTCTTGTTGGTTTTTTGTGTTTTTTTTTGGTGTCAGGGAGGGAGATAGCAGGGAATGGGGGTAGGAATTCAGCACAGTGGCCAGGAGCAGAGATGTGGGAAGGACCTGGCCTGCTCAAGCACCTGTGGACTGATTTTAAAGAACTCCCATAGGTGCCGTCCACACCCAAGGGTGGAGATTCTGAAACACTTCTTCCCACAACAGTGTTTTTCCTGTCCTCAGGTTAGACTTTGGAGGGACAGGTCAGCCACCCTGACGGCTCATTTCAAATTCACCCAGACCCACCCTGGCCCTCTCCAATGGCTTGCATTGTCTGCCCACATCAAGATCCCAGCAATCTAAATCTGGAGGATCACCTGGATTGCATGTGGTACGAGCATGTCACAACTGCCTCCCAATGACCGTATCAATCAGCACCATTACATTTTCTAACTAAAACTGTATGTTTTATCAAAAGTCAAATTGGTGGCTGGGCACAGTGGCTCATGCCTATAATCCCAGCACTTTGGGAGGCCAAGGTGAGTAGATCACCTGAGGTCAGGAGTTCGAGACCCAGCCTGCTAACATGGTAACCCGCCTGTGTTCTGACCTTAAAAAATACAAAAATAGGTCACGTGCGGGTGGTCCAACCTCTGTACTCCCGAGTACTCAGGGGGCTGAGCAGAGGGAATTGCATGAACCCAGGACGGCGGGAGGATTGCCGTAAGCCGAGATCATGCCATTGTACTCCAGCCTGGGCAACAAGAGCAAAACTCCATCTCAAAAAAAAAAAAAAAAAAAAGTCAAGCTGTATATATTTTCCCAAAAAACCGGTTCCTGTCTTCCCCTATTAAAACACCTAACGCATCTTCCTATATGACAAATTTATTATCAAAAATTACCATGTTCATTTATTCAATAACTGTTTCCTAAACATCTAATACATGCCAGGCAATCTTTCAGCGGCAAGAGAAAGGAAAGACCTTGCTCATCATATTAATGCAAGCTAGTAAGAAATTCCTGATACCTGAGATAATGAATATAAGTACTCATGCCACCAACTACATGCAAGCTGTGATAAATTACTTTAAAAGATCACCACCAGAGGGCACTCCTACAATTCTTTTATGTGACTACTGTTAAGATTCCTGAACACAGTTGAGAGCCAAATCTGAAACCTTAGCAAAAGTGAAGGTGGAAAGGAAGCACTCTGACCCCAAATACCCCAGAACAGAAACATAAAATAGCAATCTCTAAGTTTCCAGAAATCTCAGTGACTCTGGGTAGCAGCAAAAGTGGTAAGTTTCTCAGGAATCCAAGGCTCTGGCCCAAGCCATCAACTCTGAACATGAGGTGACCCGGGAAGCCAGCCAGGCATCTCCCACTCCCCACAGTCTTGGTAACCCTCCCCAACAACCTGTAAAAATCCACTCTCACGATAGACTAATCTGTCAGCAAGGGAGAAAAGCAACACTTCTCCCCTTTCCTGAATCGGGTGCCAGGGGAGACCTCATGATTCCTTGGGATGCAGCTCCCATCTCGTTCCCACTCAACAGTGAGCCCAAACAGCCATTCTGAATGTCACCTGTCTCATTCCCTCCCCAAGTGCATCCCAGCCTCCAATGATGGACAGAGAAAGGCCAGGGAGGGAATGTAGGGCCAGGTGAGAAGATTCCAGCCCTAGATCCATGTGGGAGCTCTGGACTCCAAGAGAACAGTGTAAACCTGCTCTTGCCTGCTGAGGGTGGAGGGGCAGGAATGAGTGTCAGGGGAATGGAGAGGAACAAACAAACCCTCACACCTAGGTGGGCCACAGGAGGGAGCCCTGGCAACTACCATCCCATCTCTCGCCCATGGCAGGCAGAGAGGCATCAGCAGGGTGAGGTGAGAAATCATCATCACTCGGCCGAAGGATGGAGCACTGAAGCTGGGTAAGTTTAGGATGCTAGCACATAGGAGGAGAAGGTATACATCGCCTGTAACTGTAAAGAATACTTCAGAATTATTTTACAGGAATGTAAGCTTCAGATAGGCTTTTTAAGAAATAAGCCACAATCAAGTACATAAATCAAAAGAATCTGCAAAGAATCTGTTGTGAGTCAGATCTTATTTCTAAGGGAAACATTAAACATCCTCTCTTACTGGGCCAGGCACGGTGACTCACGCCTGTAATCCCAGCACTTTGGGAAGCCAAGGTGGGTGGATCATCTGAAGTCAGGAGTTCGAGACCAGCCTGACCAATATGGAGAAACCCCATTTCTACTAAAAATACAAAATTTAGCTGGGCATAGTGGCACAAGTCTGTAATTCCAGCTACTCAGGAGGCTGAGGCAGGAGAATCACTTGAACCTGGGAGGTGGAGGTTACGGTGAGCTGAGAACATGCCACTGCACTCCAGCCTGGGCAACAAGAGTGAAACTCTATCTCCAAAAAAAAAAAAATCCGCTCTTACCTCCCTCATCAATTTGGATGGACTATATTGTCTTTTAAGGCAACATATATTAAAATGTATCTTATTTCCCACTTTGCACAGACAACTCATTGATTATTGTTTTTAGAACACAAGGTCTCAACAACAAATGAAGTTATTAAACAGGAATTGAGGGCAGACGCTAGACAATGACAAAAACTGAGTCCTTTTCAAAATTACTCTGAAGAGACCTTTAGGGATCACAAATGCTTCTGAGACTGATCTAAGTGATGAACCAACCCCTCCAGCCCTCCCTGTCCAGAAGAATACACATGTGAACACTAACACAACCATCTTCAGGCCGCTCAGGAGGTACCCACACCAACTGAAGCCATCATCAACTCTCTACACATCCATGAATGCCCTTTAGTTAGGGGCTCCCAGAAGAAGAGAATAAACACTGCTTCACTGAAGTATGAATCTTAAATCTGGAGGTTCATATTATGTGACTATTACTCCAATGTTATTTAGGGAAAAAAATCACTCTTATGATAAATGCTAACAGGATTTTATAATACAAAGTCCTACATGTAAAATTAGCTTACCTCAAAATTCACAGGCAAGTTCCGTTTAAGTGCAATCTCAAACACTTGACTTATTTCAGATTTATTTAGATTTTCTTCTTCGGATTCTCTTCCATTCACCTGTAAGAATAATTGTTTAGTAGTTAGCTCTTATTAAAATCATCAATGGCCGGGTGAGGTGGTTCATGCTTATAATCCCAGCACTTTGGAAGGCCAAGGCAGGAGAACAGCTTGAGTCCAGGCGTTTGAGACCATCCTGAGTAACACGGCAGTTTGAGACCAGCCTGAGCAACCTTGTCTCTAAAACAAAAATAAAAACAAAAAAACAAAACTTAGGTGGATGTGGTGGTGGTACATGCCTGTAGTCCCAACTACTTGGAGGGCTGAGGCAGGAGAATTGCATGAGCCCAGGAGGTCAAGGCTGCAGTAAGCCATGACTGCGCACCACTGCCCTCCGGCTGGGGTGACAAAGCAAGACCCTATCCCCTGCAAAAAAAGCACCCATAGACATCCTAGCTGCAATGGTAAACCTTAAAAGCACTGAGTCTTGGCTTTATGAATTTAACCAAGGCCACACACACCTATCAAGTGTCACTGAATTTAAGAGGTTAAAAATATGTATGTCCTGTCAAGTTTGAGTCAAATTGTACCTTGTAAGTTCACCATGAACAATCCGCACATAACTGACCTTTGGATATGAGTCAGCCTGACTGTGGTTCAGCAAGATGTCACTGCTGCTCGGAACAGTGACTTCCAAAAGTACTCCTCAAGTAGTGGGAAGCCACATTTTGGAAAAGTCAAAATACAGACAGATACATGTGGGATGTGGCAAATTCAGATTAAGGCTGTCCACCTGAGTATGCAGGCTTATTTGAACATGAATTCCCTGGAAAACCACTTTTTCTTTCTTCCTTTTTTTTTTGTGGAGATGGAGTCTCGCCCTGTCGCCCAGGCTGGAGGGCAGTGGCATGATTTCGGTTCACTACCACCTCTGCCTCCCGGGTTCAAGCGATTCTCCTGCCTCAGACTCCTGAGTAGCTGGGATTGCAGGCATGCACCAACATGCCCGGCTAATTTTTGTATTTTTAGAGAGATGGGGTTTCACCATGTTGGTCAGGCTGGTCTTGAACTCCTGACCTCATGATCCGCCTATCTCGGACTCCCAAAGTGCCGGGACTAAGGCGTGAGCCACTGCGCCAGGCAGGAAACCACTTTTAAGAGAATGCAGCCAGGCATGGCAGTACACGACTATTGCCCCAGTACTCAGCAAGCTGACAGTTGAGGATCAGTTGAGCCCAGCAGTTCAAGGCTAGAGTGAGCTGTGATCATGCCTGTAAACAACCACTGAACTCCAGCATGGGCAACAAAGAGTCTCTATCCCTATAATTAAAAATAAAGAAATAAATAAGGATACGGTGAAACAAAGTACAAAACTGCCATGTATCTCATACTCAACTGCTGTTGGCAACAATACAAGGCACAAACTAATAAAGCCTCCTCAACAAAGGCAGAGATTCCATCTTTCAAACAAGGTTCACTGGTGTGGTGGCTCAAGCCTGTAGTCCCAGCACTTTGGGAGGCCGAGACGGGCGGATCACGAGGTCAGGAGATTGAGACCATCCTGGCTAACACGGTGAAACCCTGTCTCTACTAAAAAATAAAAAAAACTAGCCGGGCGAGGTGGCGGACGCCTGTAGTCCCAGCTACTCGGGAGGCTGAGGCAGGAGAATGGGGTAAACCTGGGAGGTGGAACTTGCAGTGAGCTGAGATCCGGCCACTGCACTCCAGCCTGGGTGACAGAGGGAGACTCCGTCTCAAAAAAAAAAAAAAAAGGGGGGGGGGTCTTCCAATCACGGATGAGATTAAAGAGAAGCAAGGATCTTACTTCTGCGTGCTGATAACATGGATTTTATACTGTGCTGTAGTGATAATAAGAGGAACTAGATAAGCTCAAAACTTACTAGCAAAGTCCCCCAAAACATGGCAAAAGAGCTGTTTTTCTTCACATTATTGCTTATTTTGTCAAAGAATTTATAAAGTCCTGCTTCTAAGATTAGAACTATCTGAACAGGAACCCATGGCTGAAACTGCTAAATAGGCAAGGTATAGGACTATCCAAGATGTTACCTGTTGTGGATTTCCTTGTTTATCAGGTATATTCCACCTACAGTCAACTTTTTTTTTTTTGAGATGGAGTTTTGCTCTTGTGTCGCCCAGGCTGGAGTGCAATGACGTGATCTTGGCTCACTGCAACCTCTGCCTCCTGGGTTCAAGCGACTCTCCTGCCTCAGCCTCTCAAGTAGGTGGGATTACAGGCACACACCAATCCATCATTCCACTCGTAACCGCTCGCTTCATTTCTTTTTTTTTTGTATTTTTAGTAGAGATGGGGTTTCACCATCTTGGCCAGGCTATTCTCGAACCCCTGACATCAGATGATCCGCCCACGTTGGTCTCCTGAAGTGCTGGGACTACAGGCATGAGCCACCATGTCTGGTCACTGAATATTAAAAGCTGTAATTGGCTGGGCATGGTGGCTAGCGCCTATGATCCCAAAACTTTTTAAGGACAACGTGGGCAGATTGCTTATGCCCAGGAGTTCAAGACCAGCCTGGGCAACATGGTGAAATCCCATCTTTACAAAAAAATACAAATATTAGCAGGTGTGGTGTCACACATCTGTGGTCCCAGCTACTTGGGAGGTTGAGAGGGCAGGATCACCTGAGCCTAGGGTGTTGAGGCTAAGGTGAGCTATGATCACAGCATTCTAGCCTCAGCGACTATGAGACTGTGTCACACACACCAAAAAATGCTATAATTAAAATTAAAATAAAACAAACTCTAGGTTAAATACATATATAACCAAGGGTATAATACTGGATAAATATATTTATTCCAGATGCTTTTTGTAATTCCTTCTATCTATCCTTCCATAATCTTTTCTTTCCAATCTGGTTTCAGTGTATCTCACCTTAGTCAAAACTATTTTCATAGCACTTGTGGTGGTTTGTTAACCTACACATATTTGTTTTGTTTTGTTTTTTGAGACAGTGTCTCACTCTATAGACCAGTCTGAAGTGCAGTGGTACAATCATAGCTCACTGCAGCCTCAAACTCCTCACCTCAAGCAATATTCCCATCTCACCCTCCTGAGTAGCTGGGACTACTGGCATAGGCATCACTCCCAGCTATTTTTTTCAATGTTTTGTAGAGATGGGGTCTCACGACGTTGTTCAGGCTGGTCTTGAACTGGGCTCAAGCAACCCTCCCACCTCAACCTCCCAAAGTGTTGAGATTATAGGTGTGAGCCACCATACCCAGCCCACACTTGTATTTTTGTTTAAATCCTAAGCAGAAAAAGGGTCTACTTCTTTATGAGTGAATCCTTAAAACTGGAAATTTCTTTTTTTTTTTTTTTGAGACGGAGTCTCGCGCTGTCGCCCAGGCTGGAGTGCAGTGGCCGGATCTCAGCTCACTGCAAGTTCTGCCTCCCGGGTTTACGCCATTCTCCTGCCTCAGCCTCCCGAGTAGCTGGGACTACAGGCACCTGCTACTTCGCCCAGCTGGTTTTTTTGTATTTTTAGTAGAGACGGGGTTTCACCATGTTAGCCAGGATGGTCTCGATCTCCTGACCTCGTGATCCGCCCGTCTCGGCCTCCTAAAGTGCTGGGATTACAGGCTTGAGCCACCATGCCGGGCCAAAACTGGAAATTTCAAGCAAGGTGCCTTAAAGGCTGGGGTTCTACAGAGGTTTGGCTTGAAATTTATAGGTTGGTGCAAAAGTAATTAGCAATCTAATAGTTAAATAGATACTAAACTTAAAAAAAATAATAATACTGTAAGCTTGTTCAACAAATGGTGCTAGGAAAACTAGATATCCACATGCAAAATAATAAGGCAGGACCCTTACCCCACACCACTAAGAACTCAAAATGGATCAAATACTTAAACAAAAGAGCTAAAACAGTAAAGCTCCTAGATGAAAACATAGGGGAAAAGTGTCATGACACTGTATTTGGTGATGATTTCTTACATATGACATGAAAACTGCAGACAACAAAAGAAACAGATTAATATTAGACTTCATCAAAATTTAAAACACTCATGCATCAAAGGACACTATCAAGAGAGTGAAGACAATCCACAGAATGGGCTTTGCAAATCATTTATCTCATAAAGGATTAATATCCAGAATATATAAAGAACTACAACTCAACAATAAAACAACCCAATTAGAAAATGGGCAAAGGACTTATATAGGCATTTCTCTAAAGAAATACAAAAATACAAATAGCTGGCCTGGCGTGGTGGCTCACGCCCATAATCCCAGCACTTTGGGAGGCCGAAGCAGGTGGATCACCTGAGGTCAGGAATTCGAGACCAGCCTGGCCAACATGGTGAAACCCCATCGTCACTAAAAATACAAAAAATTAGCCAGGCGTGGTAGCAGATGCCTGTAATCCCAGCTACTTGGGAGGCTGAGGCAGGAGAATTGCTTGAACCCTGCAGGTGGAGATTGCAGTGAGCTGAGATTGTGCCATTACACTCCAGCTTGGGCAACAAGAGCGAAACTCCGTTTCAAAAAAAAAAAAAAAAAAAAAACCACAGTAACACATCTCTCACACCCTTAAGGATGGCTGTTACCAAAAGAAATGGAAATAAGTTTTTGGATATGGAGAAACAAGAAGCTTCCAGCCACTTATGAAAATGTAAAATGGTTGTGTCAGATTTGGATTTTATTAAAAATAAAACAGAAAATGGGCAGGGAGTGTGGTGGCTCACACCTGTAATCCCAGCACTTTGGGATGCCTAGGCGGGGGGATCACCTGAGGTCAGGAGTTCGAGACCAGCCTGGCCAAAATGGCGAAATCTCATCTCTATTAAAAATACAAAAATTAGCTGAGCGTGGTAACGCACACCTGTTGTCCCAGCTACTTGGTAGGCTGAGGCAGGAGAATTGCTTGAACCAGAGGCGGAGGTTGCAGTGAGCTGAGATCACACCACTACATGCCAGTCCAGTGAGACTCCGTCTCAAAAAAAAAAAAGTAATTTAACAGAAAATGTAAAATGGTACAGTTGCTGTGGAAAAGAGTTTGGTAGTTCCTCAAGAAATTAAACAT